GCTTACCGTTGCCATCCCTCGCTGCCCGGCTGCCGGAGGTGACCCGGGGGCTCCCCGGGGGCTGCTGGCCCTTGGCAGCTCCCACCCCCACAGCAGGTCCCGGGGACAGGCAGCCCTCCCTGCCACCCCCAGGCAGGGACAGGGAGAAGCGAGGAGGGGACAGCAGGACATGGGGCAGGAGGGAAATACCACGGGCTGCCTGGGGACGGGGCATCCCAGCCCAACGTACCCCGTTCCTGCAGCCCTACGTGCACTGGGTGGCGAAGCAGGGCTGCGCCCGGGCTGGGGCGGGTGGGGAGGCTGGGCATTGCAGGGCTGGTCCCTCTGCCTGCACAGGCGTGTCAGCGTCCCCAAGGGGAGGCCCAGAAAGCATACAGGGAGGTCTATAGGGTCTGTCAGGACCCTCTGGCATCCTGAGAACAAGCCTGCTTGTTTTAGGGGGGGTCAGGGCTTGAGCCTAATGCTTCTAGGGAGGTGGCAGAGGGTGCGTGTTGTCATCCTGCTACCGGGGGTTGATTTGAGCACAGCCAGAGCAAACAAGTCCCGAAGAGGACCTTGGAATGAACCCAAAAAGGGGCCAAATGGGGTTTGTATACCACCGTGGGAAAAGGGGAGCTCACCACAGCATTGAGCCGTCACAAACAGCCTGAGCACCACCCTAAACCCAGGAGGGCTCCATTCCCACCTCACTGCAGGGCAGTGCCACACCAGTGCAACCAGGCTGATTGCAACATGAGAAACATCACCGCTGCATTAGCCCGTTAATCAGCTCTGCTTTGTAAGGCAGCTTAATTTTGCCCATCAAAGCATAGACCCCACCAGGGATGGAGGACGGAGGCAGGGCAGGCTGGCACACATCCTGGGCATCCTCCTTCCCAGCCCTTCATGCCACCCATCACGCAGGGCTCAGCGATGCATTTGCTCCAGGCACTGTCATATCTGCAGGGAAGGGGCAGTGCAGAGTCAAAGGAGGGTCCGGTGTCTGTCCCCTCCAGCTGTGTGGGTCTGCTGTCCCCACCCATCTCCCCAGGGACCCCAGCAGGGCAGCGCAGTGGCAGGAGCGGGGCAGAGCCTCCTGTCCCCTAAGGAAGAGCACAGGCATCCAGATAACAGCTTTATAGGGGAGGGATGTGGGGACTCCCCCAGATACACACAGAGGAAAAATTATGAGATAAATAGGATCCAAACACATATAAGTTAAAGGGGGGCAGGTGCCTTGCAGCCCCCCCGCTCCACGTGGGCACAGTCTGTGTCTGCCAGCAAAGAGACCCTCGACACTGCAGCCCCTGTCCCCAACCAGCTCCATCTGTTTCACAACACAGAGCCAATCTTCCTCTCTGTGGCACCCATCTCATCCTCTTCCTCTTCTTCTTCCTCCTCGCCCCCTGAGCAGGAGGAGTCCAGGCCGTAGCCCAGCTCAGCAGTGCTGCGGTGCAGGAAGCCTGAGCTGGGGCTGCACCCCAGGAACTCGGGGCTTTCGGCAGCCTGTCCCCGGGGCTCGCTGGGCAGCAGCTTCTCGCAGGCTTTGGTGAGCCCTCGTTGCTTCTCAGCCTCCACCTGAGCGCCCTGCTCCTTTGCTTTGCGGCTCCGCTTCCACTTCATGCGGCGTTTCTGGAACCAGATCTTCCCCTGCCGAGGGAGAGCCTCCAGGGGAGACTGTGTCCCCCGGCCCCATCCTGTCCCCACTCACCCCCTTGCCTTTCCCTGCGTGGAGGGTCCCCCCAAAGCCTCTTTGTTGCGGGGCGTCTCGTGGTGCTGCACGTCTGCGAGGAGGCTGAGGATGTCACGGGGAGAGGAGTAACTGGGGGCTGCTCCCTTCCCCCTGCCCAACCTCCGTGGCAGGGGGTCAGGGACAGAGGGGACAAGCAATCCCCCAGGATGCCCAGGGACATGCACGGGGACATTAAAAGAGGAGTTTTAGCCCCACAAAAAGCCCCCATCCACAGCGCGGTGAGGGGTGGGAAGGCTCTGAAATCTAAGTCGGGAGTGCTGGACAAAAAGAGGAGCATTATTTCTGGGGTGGCCTTCAGAAAAGAAGAGCCTGGAGCCCACCAGGCAGGTCTCTGCAGAAGATGCCCTAGGAAGGGGTCCTGATGGGGGGCAGTGGGGTGGGGGACTGATGGCAGCCAAATGAGTGGCATCAGCATTGCCCATGACCTTGACCTCCCTCCTTGCAGTGCAACCCCCGCCTCCCTGACAGCCGCCTCGTGCTGTGCTCCATCCCCCCCAGGACCAAGGTACCTGCGTCTCGGTGAGCATCAGCGACGTGGCCACCTCAAAGCGCTTGGGTCTGGACAGGTACTTGTTGAGCTTGAACTGGTTCTCCAGCTCCAGGAGCTGCTGGCTGGTGAAGGCTGTGCGGGGCCCGCGGTACTTCCCCTCCAGGCCAGGC